ACCAGAAAGCTATGAAGACTGATAATTCGTACTGATAATCGCTTACAAAGTCCTTGCTGGTGTAATGAATAATTTATGATTTATCCTCATTAGTGCATTAATTACTTTGAGCTACCTCCCATTCCTTGGATCAAATCTGATTGCCTCCCCTTTCCCATGGGATGCATAATATAATAATCAATAAAATTCAATGGTTTATTAAATTTTGCATTATCACAATAAAATAATGAAATGTAACTAAAATAATAAAATAAAATTAAATAATAATTCGAAAATAATATTGCCAATAGCCTTTAAATAAAAAATAGTAAGAAGACTAAAGAGAAGCCTTAAAAATATCTTCTCTGTAAAAAAATTGTGGGTAAAATGTGAACATTCCAGGGCTGGTGGTTTTTGTTGGTGAGGTAAGACGAGCCAGCCCTCCCTCACCTGAGCCTTACTCAGGTACCTCCCTCACCTGAGCCTTATTCGGGTACCTCCCTCACCTGAGCCTTATTCGGGTACCTCCCTCACCTGAGCCTTATTCGGGTACCTCCCTTACCTGAGCCTTATTCGGGTACCTCCCTCACCTGAGCCTTACTCAGGTACCTCCCTCACCTGAGCCTTACTCGGGTACCTCCCTCACCTGAGCCTTATTCGGGTACCTCCCTCACCTGAGCCTTATTCGGGTACCTCCCTCACCTGAGCCTTATTCGGGTACCTCCCTCTCCTGAGCCTTATTCGGGTACCTCCCTCACCTGAGCCTTACTCAGGTACCTCCCTCACCTGAGCCTTACTCGGGTACCTCCCTCACCTGAGCCTTATTCGGGTACCTCCCTCACCTGAGCCTTATTCGGGTACCTCCCTCACCTGAGCCTTATTCGGGTACCTCCCTCACCTGAGCCTTATTCGGGTACCTCCCTCACCTGAGCCTTATTCGGGTACCTCCCTCACCTGAGCCTTATTCGGGTACCTCCCTCTCCTGAGCCTTATTCGGGTACCTCCCTCACCTGAGCCTTACTCAGGTACCTCCCTCACCTGAGCCTTATTCGGGTACCTCCCTCACCTGAGCCTTATTCGGGTACCTCCCTCACCTGAGCCTTATTTGGGTACCTCCCTCACCTGAGCCTTATTCGGGTACCTCCCTCACCTGAGCCTTATTCGGGTACCTCCCTCTCCTGAGCCTTATTCGGGTACCTCCCTCACCTGAGCCTTACTCAGGTACCTCCCTCACCTGAGCCTTATTCGGGTACCTCCCTCACCTGAGCCTTATTCGGGTACCTCCCTCACCTGAGCCTTATTCGGGTACCTCCCTCACCTGAGCCTTATTCGGGTACCTCCCTCTCCTGAGCCTTATTCGGGTACCTCCCTCACCTGAGCCTCACTCAGGTACCTCCCTCACCTGAGCCTTACTCAGGTACCTCCCTCACCTGAGCCTTACTCAGGTACCTCCCTCACCTGAGCCTTACTCGGGTACCTCCCTCACCTGAGCCTTACTCGGGTACCTCCCTCACCTGAGCCTTACTCGGGTACCTCCCTCACCTGAGCCTTACTCGGGTACCTCCCTCACCTGAGCCTTACTCAGGTACCTCCCTCACCTGAGCCTTACTCAGGTACCTCCCTCACCTGAGCCTTACTCAGGTACCTCCCTCACCTGAGCCTTACTCAGGTACCTCCCTCACCTGAGCCTTACTCAAGTACCTCCCTCACCTGAGCCTTACTCAGGTACCTCCCTCACCTGAGCTTTACTCAGGCACCTCCCTCACCTGAGCCTTACTCAGGTACCTCCCTCACCTGAGCTTTAATCAGGTACCTCCCTCACCTGAGCCTTACTCAGGTACCTCCCTCACCTGAGCCTTACTCAGGTACCTCCCTCACCTGAGCCTTACTCAGGTACCTCCCTCACCTGAGCCTTACTCAGGTACCTCCCTCACCTGAGTCTTACTCAGGTACCTCCCTCACCTGAGCCTTACTCAGGTACCTCCCTCACCTGAGCCTTACTTAGGTACCTCCCTCACCTGAGCTTTACTCAGGCACCTCCCTCACCTGAGCCTTACTCAGGTACCTCCCTCACCTGAGCTTTACTCAGGCACCTCCCTCACCTGAGCCTTAGTCAGGTACCTCAGCACCTGAGTAATCTATTTACCAGCGTTTCTACAGCATTACACAACTGAATTTACAGGTTAAGTCCTGCTAGACTATAGTTTATTTACAGGTTAAGAGGTGTTATCACAGGAATTTTGTGTTGTGTTGTAAATGAATCGGTAACCCTCACACTTTCCACATAGGCAGTTTCCATCATTTCATTTCTAGTGTTTTCATCATCTAGTTGACGACTCATTAGCTTGGCTTCAAACTTTCCCCTCTCGGCTCATTCCAAAGCCCTTTCGTAACCAGTACTAATACACAAGTGAATTTACAGCCTAAGTGTTGCTAAACTACAACAGCCCCTTTCAGAGCCCAGCCACACGCTTGGATGCGGGCTAACACCCTGGTACCTACTTATTGCTAGGTGAACAAACGCAACAGGTGTTTGGAAACATGCGCAACGTTTCCAGTCGCGCCAAGATCGAACTCTTGTTCACCAGTTGTGAGCTAAAGGCGCTACCACTTGACCCACGAACCACCTTCATAATGTGCAAGAAGGGTATAAAATGCCGACAAGATGAAAGTTAAGACACTTGTGCAACATCTGGTTATCTTTATTGCAGATGTTTCGCCATTCAGTGGCTTTATCAATACAGATTCTAGGACATAGTAGAACTATATACAGCTTGTCAGACATTGCAACATCATGGACTCTTGGTTCAGAGGACACCTACAAGATCCTCACGGCTACAACAACTAACGCATTCCTTTGGGTATGACCTACTTCCAGTGGGGAATCCCACCTACCAGTGACTATGCCCTCGTCTGCTACACGTCCCTATCCACTGACGCCTATATAAGCGCCAGTCTCCTTGCCTGTGCTCCAGAATCTCTACCACCACGATGCTGTCAACACCAACTTCAAGGCTGAGGGACTGATTACCTCATCTTTTGTGTATAGTTCTACTAATTGTGTCCTAGAATGTGTACTGATAAAGCCATTGGATGGCGAAACGTCTACAATTTATTGTAATCTTTAGATTAGCAGATGTTGCATACGTGTCTTAACTTTCACCTTCATAATGACTGAAATTCAGCCATCATGACAGACGAGTGATTCAAAGACTTTTAGAGCAGGTTAAGATTTACTTAGTTTCGCTTACCTTGAGCGAGACGTTGTCTCAGTCTTACGCGGCTTTGTATGTTTGTCTTCCCTAAACACGTTTCACAACTAACATGGCGACGCTGCAAGATTTTACACCCGACAAATTGGGCATGAAAATGAACATTTCGATCCTTCTTGGCCTATTACATTGTCAGTGGTCCAGGATGGACCGCTGCGTGTGTAGATACACACATACACATGAAGGGAGGTGTTGGATCTTTTAACCGAAACGTCGTCGTAAGCTTCTCTCTTTTATGTGCGGGTTATTTGTGTATCGTTCCAGTCACGGTATTGTGCCTTTTTTTTATTTAGTTATTTATTTAATTATTTTTGGATCTTTTAACTTCTATCATCAAAACTCAAATTGTAAAATCATGAAGGTACCTTGATGGTGAATGATTCATAGTTCAATTAGAGGTATTTTCTCCTTTCTTGGATCAAACCTAGTTACATATACTTTCCCAGGCACTGAGTGAACCCTCCGGGTTCAGTGCTTTACATAAATATGACAAGCGGCAAATATTTCTACTTTTCGGTATGTTGATAAATTAGACACATGTGCAACTCTTGGGTATCTTTATTGAGGAAACGTTTCGCCACACAGTGGCTTCATCAGTCCATACGTAGGAGAAACTTGAAGAACAGGAGGAGAATGAGGTAATCAGTCCCTCAACCTTGAGTCGATGTGTTCAGTCCATCAATCTTGAATAGATTGATGGACTGAACACATCGACTCAAGGTTGAGGGACTGATTACCTCATTCTCCTCCTGTTCTTCAAGTTTCTCCTACGTATGGACTGATGAAGCCACTGTGTGGCGAAACGTTTCCTCAATAAAGATACCCAAGAGTTGCACATGTGTCTAATTTATGAACATGTCGGTTCTCTGAACCATTCATCTACTTTTCGGTATACCTGGAGGGTGTGTTTTTGGACGGTGTTCCGGGGTTCAACGCCCCCGCGGCCCGATCTATGCCTAGAAATCTTGTAAATCATCAAAATATATTCTAACAAAACAGCTATTGTACGAATGATGGTGAATGTATTTCCTTTCTAGGGTGGTGGGTGACGGTCTGTAACCCATCAGAACGTTTTTTGTGCAAGTTATGAAAACGTGTATCCGTTCTAGCACATAGAAAGATGCTAGAACATGATGCATGGTGTTAGGGTACTCAAAGACTCGTCAGAAATTGGCACTCATGACGCAGGTCTAGAGAGATGAACACATCTCATGTCTAGAAAGATAAACACATTTCACGTCTAGAAGTATACATCTCATGTTTAGAGAGATGAACACATTTCATATCTAGAAAGATAAACACATTTCACGTCTAAAAGTATACATCTCATGTCTAGAAAGATGAACACATTTCATGTCTAGAACACATCTTAAGTCTAGAAAGATAAACACATGTCTAGAAAGACGGACACACCTCTTGTCTATTGTTGGATATTCCCCGGGTCTAGAATGATGTGTAAATCTGGACAGAACTGACATGAAAACCAGGATCGCTACAAATCTATATATTACAAATACAGTGCGATTTTCGGTCAGTTTTGAATCCTCTTCAAGCCATTTACGACTCGATAAAGGTCCAAGACGTGGGTTACTTTTGAATTGTTCCAGTCACGGTAAATAACTTTCACTGAATAATACCTTTCACTGGGGAGGGATGGGGGGGAGCGGGGTGTCACTTATGCGTCTGAATGCCTACGGATCAAACCTGACCTATATCACATTAGATGCAGGAACAAGTGGAGGTACTCACGCTGGGGATGTTGTCGGCGGAGCAAACACCCTCAGAGAGGAGTCGATCTCTGATCTCCCAGGCGAAGATGGAGGGACACTCTCTCTTGAACTGGGCGATCCTGGCCACCACCTCTGCCGTGGCCACCCGGGGCTTCGAACCCCCGATGGCCCGCGGCCGGATGGACCCGGTTTCATAGTACCTGTGATCGGGGAGAAACGGAGTGTTAGACTGTGTTAGAAGGGTTAGAAAAGTGGTTAGAATAGATGGTTTAGAATAGACGGTTGTCTGACGATGATTAGAATTGATGATGTTTAGAAGAGATGGAGGAGATGGTTAAAATAGATGATGATTAAAACAGATGATTGTTAAAATATATGGTGGCTAGAAAAGATGGCTTGAATAGCTGTTAGAATAGTGGTTAGAAGCGATGCTTCGAATAGATGATTACATTAGATGGTTATAATATAGGGTGGTTAAAAGAGGTTAGAAGAGATAATTGTTAGAAGAGACACTGGTTAGAAGAGGCACTGGATAGGAGAGACACTAGATAAAACCTATCACATGCACTCCCAAAACACGAACATCAAGAAAACTTAATATTATAGATGAATGTAATCCCTCCAAGGCACATTCCTGGATCAAACTTGATTAACTTACATTTTCCAGGTATAGAGCTTTCCTGTGAAAAATAATCGACTACTACGTAAGTCTTTTCTGTAAATCAACCAAAAATTAGATACAGCAGCAGTGTGCTGCTACAGAATTCTTTGTGATAGTTACAACGTGGGAACAGAAGCTGTTTTCTCTGTCATATTCCGTCACGGAGGATGGTGCTCATACAAGGTGTTGAAATGTATCAGCCTCAGCTGGGAGACTTTCAGTAGTGTCAGCCTGAGTTGGGAGACTTTCAGTAGTGTCAGCCTGAGCTGGGAGATTTTCAGTAGTGTCAGCCTGAGCTGGTAGACTTTCAGTAGTGTCAGCCTGAGCTGGGAGGTTTTCAGTAGTGTCAGCCTCAGCTGGGAGACTTCAGTAGTGTCAGCCTCAGCTGGGAGACTTCAGTAGTGTCAGCCTGCGCTGGGAGACTTTCAGTAGTGTCAGCCTGAGCTGGTAGACTTTCAGTAGTGTCAGCCTGAGCTGGTAGGCTTTCAGTAGTGTCAGCCTGAGCTGGGAGACTTTCAGTAGTGTCAGCCTGAGCTGGGAGACTTTCAGTAGTGTCAGCCTGAGCTGGGAGACTTTCAGTAGTGTCAGCCTGAGCTGAGAGACTTTCAGTAGTGTCAGCCTGAGCTGGGAGGCTTTCAGTAGTGTCAGCCTGAGCTGGGAGACTTTCAGTAGTGTCAGCCTGAGCTGGTAGACTTTCAGTAGTGTCAGCCTGAGCTGGTAGACTTTCAGTAGTGTCAGCCTGAGCTGGTAGACTTTCAGTAGTGTCAGCCTGAGCTGGTAGACTTTCAGCAGTGTCAGCCTGAGCTGGTAGACTTTCAGTAGTGTCAGCCTGAGCTGGGAGACTTTCAGTAATGTCACCCTCAGTAGGGAGACATTCAGTAGTGTCAGCCTGAACTGGGAGACTTTCAGTAGTGTCAGCCTGAGCTGGGAGACTTTCAGTAGTGTCAGCCTCAGCTGGGAGACTTTCAGTAGTGTCAGCCTCAGCTGGGAGACTTCAGTAGTGTCAGCCTCAGTTGGGAGACTTTCAGTAGTGTCAGTCTCAGCTGGGAGACTTTCAGTAGTGTCAGCCTCAGCTGGGAGACTTTCAGTAGTGTCAGCCTCAGCTGGGAGACTTTCAGTAGTGTCAGCCTGAGCTGGGAGACTTCAGTAGTGTCAGCCTGAGCTGGGAGACTTCTGTAGTGTCAGCCTGAGCTGGCAGACTTCAGTAGTGCCAGCCTCAGCTGGGAGACTTCAGTAGTGCCAGCCTCAGCTGGGAGACTTCAGTAGTGTGAACCTGAGCTGGGAGACTTTCAGTAGTGTCAGCCTCAGCTGGGAGACTTTCAGTAGTGTCAGCCTGAGCTGGTAGACTTTCAGTAGTGTCAGCCTGAGCTGAGAGACTTTCAGTAGTGTCAGCCTCAGCTGGGAGACTTCAGTAGTGTCAGCCTCAGTTGGGAGACTTTCAGTAGTGTCAGTCTCAGCTGGGAGACTTTCAGTAGTGTCAGCCTCAGCTGGGAGACTTTCAGTAGTGTCAGCCTCAGCTGGGAGACTTTCAGTAGTGTCAGCCTGAGCTGGGAGACTTCAGTAGTGTCAGCCTGAGCTGGGAGACTTCTGTAGTGTCAGCCTGAGCTGGCAGACTTCAGTAGTGCCAGCCTCAGCTGGGAGACTTCAGTAGTGCCAGCCTCAGCTGGGAGACTTCAGTAGTGTGAACCTGAGCTGGGAGACTTTCAGTAGTGTCAGCCTGAGCTGGGAGACTTTCAGTAGTGTCAGCCTGAGCTGGTAGACTTTCAGTAGTGTCAGCCTGAGCTGAGAGACTTTCAGTAGTGTCAGCCTGAGCTGGGAGACTTTCAGTAGTGTCAGCCTCAGCTGGTAGACTTTTAGTAGTGTCAGCCTGAGCTGGTAGACTTTCAGTAGTGTCAGCCTGAGCTGGTAGACTTTCAGTAGTGTCAGCTTTAGCTGGGAGAATTTCAGTAGTGTCAGCCTCAGTTGGGAGACATTCAGTAGTGTCAGCCTGGGCTGGGAGACTTTCAGTAGTGTCAGCCTGAGCTGGGAGACTTTCAGTAGTGTCAGCCTCAGCTGGGAGACTTTCAGTAGTGTCAGCCTCAGCTGGGAGACTTCAGTAGTGTCAGCCTGAGCTGGGAGACTTCAGTAGTGTCAGCCTGAGCTGGGAGACTTTCAGTAGTGTCAGTCTGAGCTGGGGAGACTTTCAGTAGTGTCAGCCTGAGCTGGGAGACTTTTCAGTAGTGTCAGCCTCAGCTGGGAGACTTTCAGTAGTGTCAGCCTCAGCTGGGAGACTTCAGTAGTGTCAGCCTAAGCCGGGAGACTTCAGTAGTGTCAGCCTCAGCCGGGAGACTTCAGTAGTGTCAGCCTGAGCTGGGAGACTTCAGTAGTGTCAGCTTGAACTGGGAGACTTCAGTAGTGTCAGCCTGAGCTGGGAGACTTTCAGTAGTGTCAGCCTCAGCTGGGAGACTTCAGTAGTGTCAGCCTCAGCTGGGAGACTTCAGTAGTGTCAGCCTCAGCTGGGAGACTTCAGTAGTGTCAGCCTCAGTTGGGAGACTTTCAGTAGTGTCAGTCTCAGCTGGGAGACTTTCAGTAGTGTCAGCCTCAGCTGGGAGACTTTCAGTAGTGTCAGCCTCAGCTGGGAGACTTTCAGTAGTGTCAGCCTGAGCTGGGAGACTTCATTAGTGTCAGTCTGAGCTGGGAGACTTCTGTAGTGTCAGCCTGAGCTGGCAGACTTCAGTAGTGCCAGCCTCAGCTGGGAGACTTCAGTAGTGCCAGCCTCAGCTGGGAGACTTCAGTAGTGTGAACCTGAGCTGGGAGACTTTCAGTAGTGTCAGCCTCAGCTGGGAGACTTTCAGTAGTGTCAGCCTGAGCTGGTAGACTTTCAGTAGTGTCAGCCTGAGCTGAGAGACTTTCAGTAGTGTCAGCCTGAGCTGGGAGACTTTCAGTAGTGTCAGCCTCAGCTGGTAGACTTTCAGTAGTGTCAGCCTGAGCTGGTAGACTTTCAGTAGTGTCAGCTTTAGCTGGGAGAATTTCAGTAGTGTCAGCCTCAGTTGGGAGACATTCAGTAGTGTCAGCCTGGGCTGGGAGACTTTCAGTAGTGTCAGCCTGAGCTGGGAGACTTTCAGTAGTGTCAGCCTCAGCTGGGAGACTTTCAGTAGTGTCAGCCTCAGCTGGGAGACTTCAGTAGTGTCAGCCTGAGCTGGGAGACTTCAGTAGTGTCAGCCTGAGTTGGGAGACTTTCAGTAGTGTCAGTCTGAGCTGGGAGACTTTCAGTAGTGTCAGCCTGAGCTGGGAGACTTTCAGTAGTGTCAGCCTCAGCTGGGAGACTTTCAGTAGTGTCAGCCTCAGCTGGGAGACTTCAGTAGTGTCAGCCTAAGCCGGGAGACTTCAGTAGTGTCAGCCTCAGCCGGGAGACTTCAGTAGTGTCAGCCTGAGCTGGGAGACTTCAGTAGTGTCAGCTTGAACTGGGAGACTTCAGTAGTGTCAGCCTGAGCTGGGAGACTTTCAGTAGTGTCAGCCTCAGCTGGGAGACTTCAGTAGTGTCAGCCTCAGCTGGGAGACTTCAGTAGTGTCAGCCTGAACTGGGAGACTTAAGTACGGCAAAGAAAATATCGTCAAATGTTCCAGTAAGATTTCTCTCCAGCAGAGCTGGAGTTACTGTCACCTGGGAATCACCATCTCTCAGGATTACCTGTCCTGTACACAACAGAAATTGAATTTATGTGAAGATATTTCTGTCGTAGAGTGAGGATAAGAGAAATTATACACAGGGGGTAAAGGAAAGAAAGTGAGGGAGGATGAATTTAGGCATAATGTATGTAATTACATATATATAGCAAAAGATAACATCTTGGCCATTATAAGTCTAAGAATGTATAATAGTGCTAGCCTTAGAGTCTAGGTGAAGAGGGTCTACCATGATTGTCTACCATTAGGATCTATGGTTTGTTTGCAATCGTGTCATTACGATTTCGTGAGTCAACCCACATGTAAGCAAAAGACAGGAGACCAGTTGCTCTTTATATTTTAATCTCGGTCTGATGAGGTTTTAAGACCAAAATATACCAATCAACTAATCTCCGATCCTCTACAGAGGATTATCCTGTTACTGTGAGCCTACATGTATCAGACATTTTTAGTAAGTTATTAGTGACATTATATTAATGATAAAAATAAACCTTTATATTAATGGCTAGTTGGCGAATAAAATACATGTGCATAACTTTACTGAGTATATTGCTTAAACGTTTCGTCTGCGCAGCAGGCTTTTTTAATGTAATAGAAGCGATTATAATACCTCTCTATTGGACTGAGGAAACCTGTTGTTCAGGCGAAACGTTTGGCAAATAAAAACACCGAAGTGTTGTACATGTGTCTAGTTCATCAAGAATAAAAGCCACAATATCGTGACTGGAACAATACACAAATAATCCACACATAGGAGACACTTCTGGCAACGTTTTGCACAGACTTGACCCATTAACTAATCACGAAACGTAGTCATAAGTTTCTTTCTCCTATGTGCGGGTTGTATCTAGTTTATCACTAGAAATCTCACCTGCCGAGAATCTTGGAGACGCAGCCGTTGGAGACCTGAAGGATCCTGGAGATATCGCAGGGTCGTGCCCCTGAGTGCGCTAGTTCAATGATCTTCTGCCTGGTGGTGTCCGGGAGAGGCCGACCAGAGACGAACACTCCACCCAGCTGGTTGACACCGCTGTGACCTGTACAACACAGTTCAGCGTTAAGCCTCCTTTTATTTACCTTCCATGCCCATCCACTAAACAAAGGGTGTAACAGTAAAATGTGCATTGAGAGTCTGGATGTAAAAGACAAATCGTAGTTGCAGGAAATTTGAGAGAACGTTTTGCCTCTGCAACATACTTATTTTTTCAGGCTGATTTCAAAAAGCACTTCGTGTTTTTGTTACACAAAGGTTCATTAAGGCTGCATTTTGCCTGTACTCCATCAGTGAAGAATACGTTAATCCATAACACAGGGATTGCTGATATACACGGCTGTTCGGTGTGTGTGTGTGTGTGTGTGTATTCCTCACAGCTCATACACATTAGTGGTGATGCACTCAGAATATATACAAAGTGACATGAATTTTTGTGTTAACATTTTTTTTTCTGTAAAAAAAAAAATAGGTGTCTGGTTGTAACTGCTCGTTTTATTCCTTTTAGTATAGTGTCAGTAGGATGTAGATAGCGTTGTGTCGACGACAGTGAATGAAAACACTTTACTGTATAACACAAAGCGAAACATTGGCCAAATTAAAAAGTTGCTCTGCGAAGTATTGGTATGTCACTTCACACCAGAGAGACACCATTGTGGAGGAGAAGGTGCAAATTGGAAAGCAGTGGCGTGTCTCTGATGGTAAAGACGACGAACCGCAAAGCTCTAGACTCATAGGACAACAGCAAAATTATTAAAATCAAGGATGATTGATAAGTTTGCTATAGCCCTATGAGCTCTCCTCTCTGCTTCTGCTAAGGTGTCCACCACTGCAGTGCTGTTTGCATCATATTCCTGTCTTGGTCTCCAATTGTTTGGTAGCGGGTTGTAAATATGGTTAAATAAATGGAGAACGTTGAGATCAAACTGAGTGTATCACACAGAATCCAGGAGAGACGCGAGGGGGAACAAAATGTCATAAGTGGAATTGAAAGAAATCCAAAATACTTCTCATATGCAAAATCCATGACCAAAACAGCATCTAGTATAAGGTTTTAATTAAAAGAGATGGAACATACACTGACGACAACAAAGAAATTAATGAAATACTTAATTCAAAATACGATGCAGTGTTCATTGAGTCATTTCAAAATACGATGCAGTGTTCATTGAGTCATTAATCATCCTAGGGATTGACCCCAATGAACTCTAAGCAAAACGCAACGGACATCTTCATAGTCTCTGAAGGAGAGATCAAATTGCATGATCATGCACTCCATCACAAGCCCAGACTCCTGGAACTCTATATTCATCATGATTTTCATGAAACTATTTCATGTCTTAAATATTCAATGGAGAAACCTGAATACTATGATCACGCCATGGTTATATTATCTTTATTTTCTATAAGGTATACCGTGTAAATCTTTTGCCACCAGGCCACGGGCCACCATTAAAAAAAAAACGATTAAACTCCACTCCACATAGGTGGTAGTAAATCAGCTTGTGAAAAATTGTCCTAATGGAAATGACGTCTCACATTATCTAGAACTTTGAAAGGGAAAAGAAACAAGATCACATGGAATCACAGCAGTGGTACACGCCACGGCAATGTGTTTTCAGAAGAGATCGCCCTTGCCTCTTGTAATTGCTAGACCATTACAACATAATGTTGGATACAGTTTAAGTCAAGCATAATTTAAATGTGGTGTACACTGACCTTGCCAAAGCTTTCGACTAGTGCGACCTTAGCGTAATTGTGCACAAGATGTGTGCAAAAGGAGTAACTGGAAAGGTGAGCTTATGAATATTTAACGTTTTAAAGAGAACCCAAAGAGTAAAAGAATAAACAGTGAAATCAGGGGCTGCTACAGTGAAAAGTTATGTTCCTCAAGGCATAATACTTGCCTTACTTCTGTCTCTTATATTCGACATAGAGACATAAATCATAGCATCGTATCATCCTTGCAGACGATACTAGAGTCTGAGAGTGGCATCTACAAAAGACACATCTAGCCTCCAGACTGATCAAGTCTTCCAGTACGATTTTCAATGAACAAATTCAATTTACTTCGTTAAGGTAAAACTGAGGGAATAAGAACGAGGTCAGAGTGCAAAACAAACTCAAATTACTCAGAGGAAGTGTAATGTGAGAGCTTAGGTAGGACTAATGTCTGAAAATCTCGCATTCAAAGAGCATAACATTGTTATTTTAGTAACTACGAGGAAAATGATAGCTTGCTAGAATTTTTGAAACATATTCTAAACTCACGATGATACTCCAAGACCGGAATATTGCTGTGTACTGAAGACCCCTTTCAAAACGGGCAAAATTTTAGAACTGGAGAATGTACAGAGAACCTTCAGAGCTCGTTTAACTTCAGTCAAGCACCTAAATTATTGGGAGCGCTTGAAGTGCCTCGAACTGAGCTCCTCAGAAGATAGGCGATCAAGATACACCATAATCTACTGAAAGATTCCTTAATGACTGGTCTTCAGCCTGCACACCGAAATCACTCTTCTTGAAAACTAGAAGTTCGGCCGATGGTATATGTTGGGCATGTGGTACACATGTTGGACCAACCGAAAGGTCTGGTCTCAGACCTGGTTTGGACCAGGCCGCGGTAGCAGTGACTCCCGGAAGCGACTACAGGTAACCTACAAGTATGGGTGTAGTAAGCATCGTGGGTGTTGTACGCCCCATGCGTTGACGTGGGTGGGGGTAGTGAGCGAGGATAGTGGGCGCGGGTGGTGGGCAGTGGGTGATAGGCTGGGGAAGTGGGCAGGAGTGTCTGGTCTCATTGAGCACACAACGTTGGGTCTTGTGTCCGAGTGGCCATTACTATGCAGTAGGCGGTCTCGGGGTGGGCTGCCCTTCCCACCCTTTTCCCCAATCCACCCTACACACACACACACACACACACACACACACACATATATACACATACACATACACACATACACATACATACACACACATATACATACACACACACATACATACACACATACATACACACACACACACACACACACATACACACACACACACACACACACACACACACACACACACACACACACACACACACACACACACGACAATGACGACATGACGGAAGGAATAAACTCCGAGGTGTCCCTGTTTGCAGATGACGTGAAGTTGATGAGAAGAGTTCATTCGATCGAAGACCAGGCAGAACTACAAAGGGATCTGGACAGGCTGCAGACCTGGTCCAGCAACTGGCTCCTGGAGTTCAATCCCACCAAGTGCAAAGTCATGAGGATTGGGGAAGGGCAAAGAAGACCGCAGACGGAGTACAGTCTAAGGGGCCAGAGACTACAAACATCACTCAAGGAAAAAGATCTTGGGGTGAGTATAACACCAGGCACATCTCCTGAAGCGCACATCAACCAAATAACTGCCGCAGCATATGCGTTTTCCTAGACTGCAGGAAGGCCTTTGACACAGTTCCCCACAAGAGATTAGTGCAGAAGCTGGAGGATCAGGCGCATGTAACAGGGAGGGCACTGCAATGGATCAGGGAATACCTGACAGGGAGGCAGCAACGAGTCATGGTACGTGAAGAGGTATCACAGTGGGCGCCTGTGACGAGCGGGGTCCCACAAGGGTCAGTTTTAGGACCAGTGCTATTTTTGATATATGTGAACGACATGATGGAAGGAATAGACTCTGAAGTGTCCCTATTCGCAGATGATGTGAAGTTGATGAGAAGAAATAAATCGGATGAGGATGAGGCAGGACTGCAAAGAGACCTGGACATGTGGTCCAGTAACTGGCTTCTCGAATTCAATCCAGCCAAATGCAAAGTCATGAAGATTGGGGAGGGGCAAAGAAGACCGCAGACAGAGTATAGGCTAGGTGGACAAAAACTACAGACCTCACTCCTCACCTTGGGGTGACCATGACACCGAGCACATCACCGGAGGCACACATCAACCAAATAACTGCTGCCGCATACGGGCGCCTGGCAAACCTGAGAATAGCGTTCCGATACCTTAATAAGGAATCGTTCAAGACACTGTACACTGTGTATGTTAGGCCCATACTGGAGTATGCAGCACCAGTCTGGAACCCACACTTGGTCAAGCACGTCAAGAAATTAGAGAAAGTACAAAGGTTTGCAACAAGGCTAGTCCCAGAGCTCAGGGGAATGTCGTACGAGGAAAGGTTGAGGGAGATCGGACTGACGACACTGGAGGACAGAAGGGTCAGGGGAGACATGATAACGACATACAAGATACTGCGGGGAATAGACAATGTGGACAGAGATAGGATGTTCCAGAGAGGGGACACAGGGACAAGGGGTCACAACTGGAAGCTGAAGACTCAGACGAGTCACAGGGACGTTAGGAAGTATTTCTTCAGTCATTGAGTTGTCAGGAAGTGGAATAGCCTAGCAAGTGAAGTAGTGGAGGCAGGAACCATACATAGTTTTAAGAAGAGGTATGATACAGCTCAGGAAGCAGAGAGAGAGAGGACCTAGTAGCGATCAGTGATGAGGCGGGTCCAGGAGCTGAGTCTCGACCACTGCAACCACAATTAGGTGAGTACACACACACACACACACACACACACACACACACGAACATAAGTGGAAGCTAAGGGCACAGGTGAGCCACAGAGATGTTAGGAACTATTTTTTCAGTCTCAGAGTGGTAAAGCATTGAATAGAATGAGCAAATGGTGGAGGTAAATGTCCTACATAGCTTCAAGAGAAGGTATGATAGGGCCCAGGAGGATAGGAACCAGAATGTCAATTACACCAAGCTTTGATTGGCCCTTATTAAGGGATCTGTAGCTCGTGGGCCTTATTAAGGTAGTAAATCTGCAGCTCCAGGTTCTCATTCAGGGAGTACATCTGTAGCTCCTGGTCCTCATTGAATAAATCTGTAGCTCCTGGTCCTCATTAAGGAAGTAGATCTGCAGCTCCTGGTCTGTAATTCCTGGTCCTCATTAAGGAAGTAGATTTATAGTTCCTGGTCCCCATTGAGAAAGATCTCTAGCTCCTGGTTCTCATTTATG